CCTTCCCTGCCTGTCCTTCCTAAAGAATTCCTAAAGAATTTCATTACAGTGGGTTTATTAACACAAGAGACTGAAGATGCCTGTTACTACATTAAGGGAGGGAGGGGCAACATGATGAAAGAAGACAGTAGCGGGCTAAATTAAACGGGAATTTGTGTGGTGGTGCCCTGAGAAGCAGAGCTGGGCAAGTCTCAGAGAGTGTGCAAAATCTACGTTTTTCCTTATACTACCTCCAGTCTCTACTGCACAGATTTCAAGCAGCCTCAAAGCGCCTCTCTTGTTGTGACCCAGACACAAAAATGTGTGTATGTGTGAAAAAAAAGGGGAAGGGAGAAGAAGAGCAGAAAGGAGGAAGAGCCCTGCACAAGGAAGTGCAGCACTGCATCCTGGAGAGGCACAGCTGGAAAGGGCTTTGCTTCAGAGCCATGTTGCTCACGTGCAGCCTTGCGCCACAGCCCTTCGCTCTGCCTCTCATGCTGGACACCTCCAGCGTACTAGTTTACCCTTGCAGACACATCCAGCTGGGATGTGACAGCTGCATCAGGCTTTACCTCGGAAGCACATTGCAAGGACTACCAAAGAGACTAAAAGGCAAATTTTCTCTTGGAATGGAGTGTGCAAAAACAAGCACATGGATTTTTTTCCAAACCCTACCATCTGGTAGATAAGCTTTGTCATTGGTGGCCTGAATGTTTCCGGTGGGAGTACTCATCCATCCTAATACGTCCCTTTCAGTAAACACAAAGAAGCTGACAGGGCAGAGGAAAATGCAACATTCAACTGCTCAGACCCTGGTGAACCCAGTTCTTGGATGTGGGAAGCACTTTGGTGTACATATTGTCATGTAGAGGGTAAGATTGTGACATTTGCCTGCCAGAGCCACAAAGTCAAAAAGTATGGCTGAGAATTCTGCCTCAGAATCCTACTAAGGTCTTGTGCTGAGTTTAAAAGTTAAACCAGACTGGCTTGATTTATTAAAGCAACAGGTACAATAGGTTCAGAATTGCCATCAATAAATGCACTAACTGCAAAAGGGAAAATCGAGCTTGAGTTAGTAATTCCCAGGTAACACCTGACAGGTTTGGAGGCACAAGCCTTTGTAACAGCATTAATATAAAACGGTCGTGCTGGGAAAAGGCATAGCAGAGATGGGAGGTGCAGTTCTTACCAAGAGGAGTCCCTGCCTTGGGAGGAGGAAGAGGAGCACAGCCCATCGACCAGCTCTCAGTCTTCTCGCCCTCCGTGCTGCGCCCAGAGAGGTATTCTCCCTCGTGACTTTTCATATCCCGATCCCATCTGTCCCTGCCTTCGAGACGATGTTTAGCATGATTTGGGTGGAGAGTTCAACATAGTCATGTTTAGCATGTACTCTGTTAGGCTCGTTACCGTACTTAGCGGAGCATACACTTTAATGTTAATTTTGCTGTTAATTAGGCAAAGGTCTTCACTCAGACACTACGGCCTTCAAGATTTATGTAATAGCTGTTTGCTTTTGCTGTTTTAGCTGAAACAGGACCGTCTTTTCTTCAAATAATTTTGCTGTTCAGCTGTTTGGCATGCCAGCTTAGTGGATCTCCACCCCCAGAGATAGTACAAGAATCTCATAGTCAAAAACATCTTAACCTTTCTCCTGAAATGCACCAAATTAGCCTATGTTCCTGTCTCACGGCAAGCTAGGCTGTTATCCAACATCACTCATGGAAGCTACTGCACTGCAATCCATGTATCTCCACCTTGTTTGTAGCAGAAATGAATGGGCTCTTCCACAACACAGCCTCTGCAGTCCAGGAGGAGAATTCCTCCAGCCCATCCATGGTGGTTCTAGCTCACAGGGCAGCAGGGAACAGGCAGTAAGTTGGGAGAGTATCTGTGCATCAGTACCATGCTCCCATCCACCATCCTTACTGACAGTGCTGTGGCCCCTTCCTCCTCCCAGCACTTCCTACACACATTCTGGGGCATCCTGGACCTGGGAAACACGGGGGTCACCACATGTGTGGAAGTGGTCTGCAGTGCCCAGGTCTAGGTCCAGTCACATAGCCGGAAAGAAGGGTGGTGCAAGCTGTCCCTCTCCCTCCAGGATGAACCAGAGTGAAGCCTGAGGACTGCTGTTATGAGACACTAAAGCCTGGCAGCTAATTAAAGCTGGGAAAAGACTCAAGAACAATTACAGCCCAGAAAATTATAATTCACGCTTTAATTTTCCAGTTGAAATAAGACAGTGAACCTCATTGCCAGTATCATCAAGGTCAGCAGTAAAAACATAGTCACCACATACTCTGATCAGGAACAGTGTAGGAGACCTCTGATTAAGGGAAAACCAACGAAAGACATGGGTAACAATACCCAGAACAAGGACTATAAAGTAATCAATGTTTACATTCTTGAGTGAATAATACCTGCACTTATCAAAGTTAGATGAAGAAAGACTTAAAAATAAATATTTAAGGGTCTGTTTCCTCAAAAATAATTTCAAAGTAGGATGAAAACACTGCTTGAACTATTTTTCCCTTTGCGCAAGATCATCAGAGTCACGTTAATCAATGGTCGCTTTTGTCAGGTTATGTAGTTATTATACCACTGCCCTTCAAATATATTTAAATGATTAGAACCTACCACAAGGAAAATGGTTAAAAAGCCTATGTCAAGTTTTGTGAAAAAAATAAACACCTTCATTAACCACATCAAAATCTGTCAAGAGTCTGCAAAACTAGTAACAGCATCGTAGCCTGGTAATTACACCTCCTGGGAGACACCACAGCCCACTCTCACAAACACCATCCCACAAGCCACTCCGCTTGCTGTACGGCAAGAAGTCACCTTTCACACACTTGTCAGTGAATGTGATGAAGGGCATTTGCTGGTTTAAGTTCCTCCAACTGTAGTCTAAATAGGTGAAATTATCATGGGGAAAGGAGAGATGGCCACAACCTTTCTTCTTTTTCTTTTGGTAGTAAAGAAGCTATCACAACTCATACATATAACAGCAGATTGTCTGGCAATCATATTTAAAAGTTGTAGTCCACAAACTTAACAGTGGACTTCACATAAAAACAGTGCTACAGATAAAGCTAAAGGACTGAATACAAACTTTGAAAACATTACTGAAGACTAATGTGTGGTGTTAAATGTTTAGACAAAATATACACAGAAAAACTACTTATGGATGGAAAAATCTCAGATTAAGTATTTGTGATAGCTACACCCACAGAAGTTATCAAAAATTATATGCTGAAACTTATATGGGGATCAAAACCATCTGCAGCCTCTTTGACAACATTTTTGAACAGTTCTGTAAACCAGCACAAAAATATTCTCTGTACTAAATAATTTTTTAAAATAGCCCCATACATAATTACGATAAGAACAGGCAATTTTTGTTTCTAGAATTGGTCATGTGAAATCCAGCTAAAAGGCAATCATACATTCCTGTGCTTGTGCACAAATACTATGTAAAAACATTTCAGTTGGATTTGGCTGCTTGCTTCATTCTGAGGAACATACTTCCATCTTAGGGCTCCTGCAAAATTGTTAGAATGAGTCATCTTAAAGTAAACAAACCTACAAACCCAACATTAAATGTAGATTTTCGTAGGAGCTTTTAGAGATGACTGAAGGCACAGTAAATCCATTCTGAAGTAACTTATCATGACTAACCATTTGTTTTTCCAGACTGCAATAAGAAAAACAAAATTAAAAACTCCCTGAAAACCTTCCCAGTATTTTCAGAGATGTGGCTGGAGGACTGGTTAGGGTGGTGGGAGTTCCACAGAGACTAGAGAGTTGCTGTCCTGGGCTGCTGTAACTGAGGTAGTGCAGATACCTGAGCTGGCTCCTCCATACCATCAGCCTGCAGACCAGTAACTATTCCCTTTGTTAGCACCTTAGTATGAAAACTGGAAGTGAAAAGTGTCCTTCCAAGGGTCTGCAACATGAGGCTATAGGACTATAGCACCCTTCAGGAAGAGCAGTGTGGCTCTCCATGTATTATCCCTAGCTTTTGAGGGCAGAGCCTTTGAAGAGCATACATGAATACTGCCTGCAGAAATACTGTAGGTGAACAGTAAAGCAAATTATTACCATAACTTCAGCAAGATTCATAAGAGTTTTTTCTTCAAACAGATAT